CGTCCTTTTTTTTCTTTTCTTTTTTTTGTTTCTGGCGTGTTGTTTCCTGCTTTTCGTTTTTTGTTTTTCTTTTTGTCTCCTGGTCGGCGTATCGTCTGTCTCTTATACACATCTAGATGTGTATAAGAAACAGGGGATGACTGGGCCCCACATCACGAGGCTTCCAGTAAATTACAATGGCATGTCAGCTTAGTCTGCCTGTCAAGGCACGTCTCCATCATCACTCACCATAGGAAGTCACGCAAACATCTGGGCTGCTTCACTGCCCACTCCCCTCATGTACCTAAACATCTCATGGTCGCATTTTTTGTTCACATTGTACTTCACAGGGACGCTGGACCCGATTTCCAGCAGGTGCTGCTCCCCCACCAATAGATGGAGCCTCCCCGGCGGTTCTAGTGGTGTCTGCTCATATCAGCACCGCTAGAACCAGTCCGGGCAGTTTCTTTTAAAAAAAAAAAAAAAAAAGAACAAACAAGAGGCTGTGACGAACTGTTTCGTCGGAGTCTTCACGGAGAATATATATGAAATAGAATGCCCGGGGCCAAGTCCCACTACTACCGTCTTCCCCCGAACATAACGCACCCTAAAAATGACTTTATACAAGCTATATTTCCGGCCAGATATGGCCAAAAGGAGCGTGCCTTGTGTTCGGGGGAAGACGGGAGCAGCGTTGAGTTCCTCAACGTCTGAAAGTGGACGTATTTGTGGAGATGTGCGGTTGCAGAAACTAAACGTGATTTTATGCACATCTTCACAAACACGTCCAGATTCGGACTGCGCGGTTGCAGAAACTAAACGTGATTTTCTGCACATCTCCACAAACACGTCCGGATTCGGACGTTGAGGAAACTCAACGCTGCTACCGGTAGTAGTCGGACTTGGCCCCCGGTCATTATAGCTTTTTTTCAACTCCCTTGTGACAGTCATTATAGCTGTGGTGGTTCAGACTTCCGGTCCCTAGGGGTGGGGGGTGGGGGGTGGGGGGGAGGAGGAAACACAAATGTTTGAAGGTTTCTCTAT